AAGAAATTAGTCACGAATAGTCACGTGCATACGTCTTTATACCAGCTAAAGAACACTTTAACAAAAGACCATTGTTATGCAAACTATATAAAGATTTTTATATAAAGAGTTTTATATAAAGATTTTTATATAAAGATTTGACTTATTATGCAAACGTTTTTGAAGCCATTTAAAAAACTCGCAGGTCGTGTTTTATTAGGTCTGAAGCCACTCGCGCTGCGCGCTCGTTAAACCTAATAAAACACTCCTGCTCGTTTTTTAAATAGTACATAAAATGTTCAAGATTAAAATTATAAAATACATACGCTATTGCCTTCACATTAATTTTTAACACAGGTTTGGTGCCCGTCACTTTCACTGTAGAGTATTGCAATTTAAAGGAAACCTGAAGAAATAGAATATGCTGTTATTATCGACCAAAGTATTGATTAAATAATATTATACAAGTTTTTATTATACAAATTTTGCTTTATCGAAACATCACTTATATTTATATTATTGCAACAAAAAAACAACGTAGATTATTATTCATCATGCAAAACTAAACGTTATACTAATATTTAAACAGAAGCGCCCATATTTTCCAAAGGAGTTTTTCAATGGGGATTGATTAAAACAACAAACACTGTAGTTTGGTAATACAATTACTGAAAATCAATATAAAAATACTGTAAAATCACACTTAATAATTGAGGAGCTATATGTTGAAGAGCGGGTAGACATCTATGTTGAAGACATGACTCAACCAATATTGCTCAAAATGCGAACAGACGACCGCAAAGGTATAATTGAGTTAAAATAATTAAGCTGTATCTATTGAAATCATTATAAAATTGCAAAGTCGGTGCGCGGTTGGCCTGGCGAGTAACTTGACATGAAGAAATGAAGCAACTCAAAATACACCCTTCTGGAAAATACTTAGCTTTGGCTATAAAGTCTCGTTTTCGGGATTGAGATATCGGCTTTAGAGACCTTTATCTTGTTAATGATGACTTCACTTTATAAGGTCTTTTATATCATTTAATATAACTGCATGATTTCGTAAATGTGTCCATGCATCTGTAACATGTAAAGGAATGAAACACAATATCTCAAATCACGAGGCTCTATAGGCAAGGCTGACTACATTCCGGGAGGGTGTATAGTTAGTTAGCGATAGTACTTAAAACTGGTCTGCATGACTGCAAGTATCAAACATACCATTGCGTGCGAACATCTTGCGAGGCATTACAACAGATACATGAGAGCAACCCTGAGAATAATTATAATCGTATAGGAAGCCGCTCAGAAACCTCAGTGGATAAAATACGTGCCTCACCTCTTGATTCGTATCAAGCGGTCCTTGAATTCTAAATATTTCTGAAACGGTCGCATTTACTGCAGGCGATCTTCTTTCAATCCTGAATTGTTTCTGTGAAAAGAAAAAATCATGACTTCGTTGTTCCAAAAATATTGCTGTTGTTTAACTTCTTTGCTATCTACTCTTGATATCGACCTGAGTCGCAGTTGGATCCAACGAAATTTACATAATAAACCCAGAGGTATGAAAACAACAAAAGTTGTCTAGAACAGGATTCACATCTTTGAGTTTCTAGACCACCGCTCTACCCAACCAAGTATCGAGTCAACGGGGACTGCTAACAAATTTCATCTCAAATAATATCATAGCTACCTCGAACTCCTTTGTCTCGCGAGATGCGATTAATGACTAATTTACTTCATTCCTAAAACATGAGCGACGATTAGAAACTACAAATCATCCCATGGGACAATCAGTTACTAATCGTCCCTCATCTTTATGCATATATCCTCTTTTTTATCGATGTTCAAAAAGACATGAAAAATCAACCGTAACCTCATTAATTAACGAACATCCCAATAGTCATTAGTATCAAAAAGCAAACGCGCCTTTTTATTATAACATAGTTTATTATAGGCATGATAAAATTACTGGATGCTGATTGGTTGAGAGGAGTACAATTATTTCATTAATTGTACTGCAGTACAATTAATGATTTTCCCAAAACAAACAAAATGGCGGAAAGGGATTTTAAACACAGATGTGAAATGAAATTGCCGTGAAAGAACTAGATGAAGAAAATACGAACAAAAGCACCACATTTTGCTTGAAAATCTGGCAGAACTGGGCTTTGGCGAGAGAACATGATGTTGTAGGCTGGATCGATATACCAGATATATCCGATATACAGGTATTTGTTTATATACCGGTTTGGCGATATTGACAATTTAAAAATACCGATATACCGACATTTCGGTATTTTGCTGCCTAATACCGAATTTGCTTACAATCACGTTTAGAAAGCAAAGTTAATACTCACAGATGCATGATTTTGTTCTTACAGTTCTAGCGGCTTTGGTTTAGCAATACAATTTCGACAATTTTGGAAAGTGGAAGTACTAGCATTTGCGAAGCAGCGAAAACCTTTTCTGGCTTTTAAGTTTTTTTATCGGGCAGTATAAGAAGATAACTTTTTGTTGTTTTTAATCTTATTTAAGAATAACTGACATGCTAACTTGTTTATGTGTTAGTTTTAAAACTAAATTAGCAGCTTACTGAAACACTATCTGAATTTATATACAAAACGAATATTTTTCTGAATGATTCAACACTTCGACGCCCTACTAATAATTGCCGAATCTTGTAACATTTGCACTAATAACAGTATGTGCCACATTAATATTTTGTTAAAACTTGATTTTTCTTGACGGTCAGCACTTCAGTTTGGCTTAAAAAAAAAAACACGTTAAAAATACCGGAATACCGGTATTCTGATGGCGGTATATCGGTATTCGGTACTTGCGATATCGATCCAGCCTAGCTAAGTTCAAATGGTATTTATGGACACTGCATGTAAGATACAGCCAAACGAACCTCCTTGGAGTCCCATACTTAAGGTGGCTTTTCGACTAAAAAATGACTGTAGGGCCCTTTAATAATGTGCGAATCAAATCGAAACCTTGACACCCCCGGCATACCCCCAGGAATTTGGATTTTGACGTTTTGGTCAGGTCAAATTTCCTAAATATATTTGTAATTCCCGTTAAAATACACCACATATTGTGAAAAATTGGAGTTCAAATACCCCACCCCATGTATGAATTAGAAGCTACAGCATTTTGTAATTTTGGAATTACAAAGTTTTTCTTTCCTTCAGAAACTCTCTTCAATCGTTCAAAGCCATTTTCTTGTAACCAACCAAGGACAAAGTTAATTTCTTTGCATGATATGATATGATATGATATGTCCATTGTTAGCATAATATATAGTATACTATATTTTTCGATAATGCTCACAATTTTTTTCTTATTATATAGTTTTGCAGTTCTGACTGAGTACAATCTTAATCATTACAATGAATGGTGTCATCTGAAGCCGATGTATTAATTAAACAAAAATGTCAACAAGGGTAGCCATGAAGGTGCCATTAAAACAATATTTGGGACAAAAACTGACTTAGTATTTCTATATATGATATTGTACAGTATTCAGTGGCAAGTTAGCCATGGCAACTGGTAATGCTATGCTAATAAACCTACATAATTTGAATCATGCAAATAATAAATTTGCATAGCATGACCTAGCTGTTGCTATAGCTAGCTTTGCCACAGACAGTATTATAATTATACATACAAAAGTAAGTATAAAATATCATAAAATCTCTAATTGTTTTGTCTACACAGGTAACTAAAATAATATCATTTAACTTTGTGGTTTATTACCGACCATTGTTAAAAAGTGGGGGGCCCAAGGACATTTAGCCCCCAACTAAAAAAGTGGGGGTGCGGCAGCCCCCCCCTGACCCCTCGCTTCTGAAGCCCCATTGCTGAAGCCCCTGATTATCGCTGCCTGAACAACCTTTCATTTACAGTTACCTATAATCTATCTGAATCTCTTGAAAATAGGCCGTGGGATGAGCATCCAAAAGATGCTTAGAAAACGAATTCCGTTGCACCCCTCGTGGAACTACGTAATTTTCACATGAATAAATAGATAAAAACTTACTTTATCAGAATCCGTTGCTCCCCAAGCGAAACAGGTGCACAATTGGGAGAAAAATCCCTCCAAAGTTTGATATTTTTGCGCTTCGAAATATTCGAACCGCCATTGTTTTGATAGCAAATACGCATGCGCAACTCAGCCAAACTCGCACTGCGCACGCGCACAACCAACGCACATGCTTCGAAGTGGAAACACGCTCAGTTATGCAAATAAACATGGCTGAAGATATTTATAAAACTCGAATATCCTCATGTTTTATGCATTTTGATGGCGTTACGGAGCAACTTCGCAAAGTTACACGCCAAAGGCTTAAGAAATTTCTTGAGTGTAGGTCAAAATGGGCCAAACTTAAGTGTCAACAAGCTGAAATAGCTAAGAAAATCGTACGAGAACATCGATGACGGATCTGTCAATTCATACATCGAGAAGAACTCTGACACCATTAACTTAGAATGGAACCATCATATGAAATGCTAGAAGAGATTTTGCGATGAACCGAAGATCCGTAGATAACAGAGAAAAGAAGAAAAAGGAGAGGGAACTAGCTCTAAAACTATAACTTTTACCGAAGAATCACACGTGGAAGTGGAGGCAATAGAACCAAGGCGAAAAATTACACGTCAATCAGTCGCAGAAGCTATAAATATAAAGGCCCTGCCTAAAAGAAACGCGCATGTACTCCCAGAGATATGTGTTATTTGTGGAAGAGACGCCTCGTGGTTCTCACTAGACAAGGTATGGTCATTTTGATAGGTATAATACTAGCGCAATGTGCACAACATTCTCAGGTTTGGTTTTAAAATATATTGAATTGTGATCAATTAAGTTTATTTAGGGTAAAGTAGTTTCTATGCTACAAATATCCAACTTTGTTATTAGCAGATATTTAATTTAATAATTTATTTTGTTTCACACCAGGTGACTAAGAAGAGAAGAAGAACCCCACTCATGTTGGCAGAAACAATTGATGCTGGTCTTCTACGTACAGCTGCCGAGAGAAAGAATGATCAACAGATACTCGTGCAAATCCAGGGGAAAAACTGTGTAGCTCTGGAAATCCGCTATCACAAAGTTTGCTACTGCAATTATACAATATTTCTCACCAGAGAGACGAAGAAGCAACAAGAGCATCAGTGTACGAGAAGTCTTATGATGTATATTTCTGTAAGAAAGTAATTGAGATGGAGGTCGTCAGAAATAAGCAAATAAAGTATATGAAAGATTTGCTGGAGAAATTTGTTATCATTGCTAAGGACACTGAGAATGTGGATGCATCTAAATATAGAGCTTTTAAACTCAAGCAATGACTGATGAAAAGTTATCCCCAACTTGTGTTCTGTGTACTGAAAATGAGAAATGTTAGTGAGATTGTATATGTGGAAAATTTGGATTCTTCTGAATTGGTTGAGGAACATATGTCAATTAATGGCCTGTTTATGTGGAAGCCGGGCTGGCCTGCTTAGCGAGGCAGCCCGGTAAGCGGGATGAATTTCTCTTGTGTTTATATGATAAACTTTCATCCCGCTTGCCAGGACAATTTTGTTACATTGTATTGTTTTGACAGTTGTTAAAAATAGCTTGCGGCGGTATCTTTGAACTTTCATCCTGGCAACCAGGATAGCCCGCTTGTAAATGTTTATATGGAGAAATTTCCATCCCGGTAAGCGAGATCTAGCCTCTTTCAAACGAGATCTCGGCAACCCGGGCCAGCCTGCTTGTCCATATAAACGCATGATAATTTTTACTATAAAAATAACTACACAGCGAGATCTTGCTTACCAGGCTGTCTCGCTTATCAGGCCAGCCCGGCTTCCATATAAACAGGCCCTAAGTCTGAAAACAATGATGAAGACTTTGATGAAGAGAGCTGTACCATTGATGATGATGATGTGAATTCCAACACAGAAACTGAGGGAAATTCTAAAGTCAATGAGTTACAAATTCTATACAATGCTGTATTTATTCTTCACCAAAAGGTGCAAGAAATACTAAAACTGAATCTTCTTTGGCCACCATTGGCATCTGATTTGACAATGGATAATATTTCAAATCCGACTATGAGGACTGGACTAGATTTCAAGTACACGCAATTTGATCACGTCCGAGGCGAAGCAGAGGACTGGATCAAAATGTGAGGACTTGAAATCTAGTCCAGTCCGAATTGGAGGAATTGAAATGACATCACGAATAAATCACTACTTAATTAATTTTTATCCAGTCCTAGGACACTACAGGATCAATATACTTCATAAAGTATCCAGTATTATCATGCGAGCAAAATAAAGCAATATGGTTGGCTAATTTGCTCATGAATTATTAATGATATGAGGTGAACAATGATGGTAATGCATGTAGGTATTATCAGTGGAGTAGATCAGTGTTTATTTACTTATTCGATATTCTCATTCGGATCCACAGTATTTATATTATCAACACATATATCCCTCTCATGGACAGGGTTAACAGTATAGTCATGTCTGAGAAGCTAAAAGCACCCTGGTGGAGGAGCTGAAACTCACAGCAGCAAATCTATAAGAAAAAGTCAACTAGTGTGGACACGAAAAACCAGGCTGAATCGTTCCTTGTTATTCTAGATAGTGGCTAAATACCAACTTATGTCACAATATAAATATAATACATGAAATAGTTCAAATACGAGAAGTAGAACTTTCCCAGACAAAAGCCAGGACAGCTTATTGCAGAATACATGCAATCTCGTTTTGAGCGTGCAAGCCCTTGGCCAGGATCCAATAAGCGGGATTTTATTGCTCTGATGAAAATCTGGGTTCAAAGATGAAAATTATAATTATAGATAGCTATAATGAAATTATGGATTTTATTATTTCCTCCTAATTTTTTTTTTTATGAATTTCGAGTTTATATAAATATCCCTTAAAGCCCGGGATGAACTTGGAAACACTGTTATCATATTATTTGTCTTTCCAATCTTTCGGTATGTCATATTGTCTTATCAGCGTCGGCAAACAGATAAAGAGTGTTTCACAAATATTTCATTTTAATTGTTCCTTGATCGTGTGAATTGTATGCATATATATTTTTTATTTTCCGTCCTGTTTGATACAGGTGGTTTTTTTACCTCACACAAATTTGTATTGAATTAGGATGTTAATATAAAGTAGAATTAAACGTTAAAACGGTATTTTGAAACAATAGCCAATGAATTGAACTGATTTAGCATATGAGCAAGCAAAATATACAATGTGTTTTTAACAATATTTAATGTGGGTGTATTTATATTACAAGGTTTGATCAGTATTCTGTGATTTTATTTTGTTGTTTTTGCGGAGGAAATCGGGGAAACCCCCCAGTGAGAATCTATTTTTATAGTCTGCGCGTGCGCAGTACGAGTTTGGCTGAGTTGCGCATGCGTATTTGCTACCAAAATAATGGCGGTTCGAATATTTCGAAGCGCGAAAATATCAAACTTTGGAGGGACTTTTCTCCCAATTGTGCACCTGTTTCACTTGGGGAGCAACGGATTCTGATAAAGTAAGTTTTTATCTATTTATTCATGTGAAAATTACGTAGTTCCACGAGGGGTGCAACGGAATTGCATCTTTTGGATGCTCATCCCACGGCCTAAAATAATGTAGTCTTTTGCTGAATTGTGCACCATAACTTATTTCAATATATCGAAATCATCCCACCTCATATCTCGTCCTGGCAAATCGGGATCATTACGTATTCAGCAAATTGTGCATGCTGCCTTTGATCCCTTGGGGGTGAGGCAGCACTTTCCTAGCGATAGTAACTCCTAGTATAGATATTTCCTATGCAATTATATTCTCTCTCTAAAGTCTCTCTAAAAACCAACTCAGTTTTCTTACGTCTACAAAAATTTAACCTGTCAATCAAAAGTCATATATGGATATCGCGTGCACTTAATAGTTTTGTGTTCATGACTATAATTAGGTATTAATTAAATATCAATATGTTGTACAATTCTCAACATAGTACACTGACTACTGGTAGTACTGCAGTATTTCATGTTTTTTATACGTGTCGGTTGGGCAATAAATTTTATATAATGAGATCATAGATATCTTATATACACTAGATAGTGAATCTAATTATTCTGCAATTCAAAAATTGAAGCCGTGATTGCAGCTCAGGTCGTTCCCATGAAATGAGAAGACTCGTATGTTTTCTATTTCTTAAACAGGGAACTTAAACATTAAGTTAACCCTATTCCAAATACATTTTTAAATTATTCAAATGATGAAAGTTATTGTTGTTTTTAAGCGTTTATTAGCAAGTGGGTACGACCAACATGGCCGCCATCTATTCAAATGGGGGAAACCGCTGGAATATCCTTGGCTTCAATTTTACTAAAAGAAATATCGATGCACTATCTAGTGTATATAAGATATCTATGAATGAGATAAGAGTATGCCTATATCATATCATATTACAGTAAAACATATTGACATGCATTCCATTGCCATTGGGACCGGGTGTATCACTGTATTTGTTTTAATTAATACAGTAAATCGAAATCCACAACGAGTATAGTCGACACAGGCAAACATCTTTATCTTCGTGGAAACATAGCCATACTAAAAATCTCGCTAGTTGGGCAATATGAAAAAAATCAAAAATGCACAAATCTGAGGTGTTGGAAAAACACGAGCCCCCCCTGGAGAAGACATGCATGCAAACTACCCCCCTGATTATTTACACCATACCTGTCTCGATTGAATTTCTCCCTAACCACAATAGTTGCAAAGTGAATTCTTCAATAAAACTAAAAATACTTATAAGTGAAGGATTTTTGAAAATTTCGAGTGTCATTTTTATATAATTATTTAAACCTTCCCAGGAGCACCTGCAAAGGTTGGGTCTAAACAAATGTATAAAATTCACACTCGAAATTTACATCCAACTCGAAAATCCTTCGACATTAGTTCAATATCGAATCATGTCCAAAAGTCCTGATATTTCTCTCATATAAGTGCACGAAATTCGTGACAACTTTCTCGCTAACTCAGTGAGCGGCGGAATGCTCAAAATTTGAGAATTTTAAAATCCCGCTGGAGACATCGACTCTTATACGTTTTTCTCTGCAATGTTAGGATTTGAATACTTACATCAAGTACTGTTATTTTCTCGTACTGTAGCGATGAATCATGAGTTATGATAACTTCGGGATTGTATGAGATCTCGTCTTGATTACTTAGATAAATGACTGCTGTGACGACTTTTGTTTTGCCTATTGTGATTTCTTTCATGTCGGGACTAGAAATAGAGAAGACATATTGAATATATATATATATATATATATATATATATATATATATATATATATATATATATATATATATATATATATATATATATATACTAATTATGATCTTAAAATTTTAAGATCATAATTAGTATATTTTGCTCTATCAATTAAATTTGTTATTGAGCACTCTTTTTGTACAACGGACAACGATTTATTATTGTATATATATATATATATATATATATATATATATATATATATATATGCATGAATATAGGTTTTGATTGTCATGCCTGGATTATTTCTGTCGGTTGGTTTATTTTAAACCAAAAAAGGGACTTCTTCAGGCAAATTGTGAGATTATTTATTAAAGATCCATACTTATAGGAGAAACAAGGAGAGCCATCTCCCGATCAACGGATTCACTATCAAGAAATAAGTCACTATGTAAAATAAAATCGATCTTTGCAAGTAACGGATACCCAAAGAAATTTATTAACTCAGTCATGCAACAAACATTACACACCCAACCACAACGAGAAAACATCGAGAAGTATGTATATCTCAAGCTGCCCTTTATTAATGAAGAGCTTAAGCGCCGTGCCTTATCTATAGTCCGACGATCTGGACTTGAAAACATTAGATTACAGTTTGTAAATGGACCATCCCTATCAAAAATATTCGCTCCACGTAAAGAGAAGCTAAGTTGCCCCGATAACTGTGATACTTGTAAACTAGCAATTAAAACTAATCTATGCAAGGTTAAGAATGCGATCTACCTTATTAATTGTTTACATTGTCATCTGGTCTATGTGGGAGAAACCGGAAGAACAATACGATCGCGGATAAAGGAACATCTCCGAATGGACAAACAAACAGTTCATGTACACCTTAGAACTCACAATATTGACCCACAAAGCGAGACGACAATAAGTTGGAAAATCCTCCATTCAAATATAAATTACCGGTATGAGCGTGAAGTGATCGAAGCACTTGAGATTCGGAATTATTCGGACAGAATTATGAATGGTTGTGCTGGACGTAATATCAATATCTAGTTTGACTAATTGGAACAATCAGGCTTCTAATATATCCTATGGTACAATCAACAATATAATAACAATCACTCTTTTAACTTAATTTTAAAATTTTTAACTTAGAACTCAAATTAACATTTTTAATAACATTCTTTAGGTTTTACATTCTCAATCAAGCGATAAATGCATGTATATATAGAGGACGATTTTATTATTCAGATTATTGTACTCACTGATGAAGCCTTAACCGGCGAAACGTCTGAGGAATTTAATAAATAATCTCACAATTTGCCTGAAGAAATCCCTTTTTTGGTTTAAAATAAACCAACCGTCAGAAATAATCCAGGCATGACAATCAAAACCTATTCATATATATTATATATATATATATATATATATATATATATATATATATATATATATATATATATATATATATATATATATATATATATATATATATATATACTCTGACTAGGCGGAAGAACAATTAACGGTGTCCAACATTTCAATGGAGTTCCACCGTCTACAGTTTCGGAATTTCCGAGGTCTCTGATATACGAGGCCATTTTATTTTTATATTGCGCGAGTATTAAACTACCTCACTGAAGTTATATCTAAGCTAAAGCTATTTCTTTAAATCTTTTCCTTGTATTAGCAGACGACAAAACAAATCAAATGGCACCTTTCAATTGGACTTTCAGAGGTAAGATCAAAGTTTATCCGCTCACAAAAAATGACATTTAGAAATCATGCATTCATCATTTACTGTAAACCTCCCTCACATCTAGTTCCCTTTTCTCCGGTTCAATATCGTAATACACAATTTCTTATACTGCTATATTGGTAAATAGCGACCGTTCGCCATTTATCCTATACAGGGTGTATAAAAAAAACTGAACAGATTTGAAATTGCTCTCAATTTCGCAAAACAGCTATTAGTATCCAGTTTTTTATATATATAGCTTCTTTGGGTACTTATAATGTAGAATAATGAAAAAAAAATTCTCAAACTCAAATTTTGTAAACCAGGGGGGTGTCTTTTCCAACAAACTAAAAATGGCTTGTGCACGAAATTTAAAAGCTGTAATCGTATTTTGAGTTAATGGGTGAAAAATTTGTTGGGTATTTAACTGCTGCACAAAATTTCAGAAAATTTGCCTCAGTTTAGGCCTTTAACTATTCACGCAAACTTTTGCATGCTTAATTAATGCCTTTGCCTAATTCAAGTCAGCAATATGCAAGTTAGGTAAAGATATTAATTAAGCGTGCAAAAGGCTGATTTGGGGGGGGGGATGAATACTTAAAGGGCTTAAACTAAAACAAATTGTCTTGAAAATTTGTACAGTAATTAAAAACCCAACAAATTTTCCATTCATTAACTCAAAATACGATTAAAGCTTTTAAATTTCGTGCGCAAGCCATTTTTAGTTTGTTGGAAAAGAAACACCCCCCTTGGTTTACAAAAATTGAGTTCGAGAATTTGTTATCATTATTCTACATTATGGGTACTCAAGGAATCTATATATAACAAAAACTTGATACTAATAGCTGTTTTGCGAAATTGAGAGCAAATTAATATCTGTTCAGTTTTTTTATTTATACACCCTGTATAGTCAAGGATTCCCTTTTTTATACTGCAATACATTTTGTCAGGAGGGGCCCAAAATTTTACCAGGGGGGGCCGGGCCCTCCGGCCCCAGCCCTGGCTACGCCTCTAGCTGAGCATTGATACCACAAACTGGTTTTCGAAATTGAGAGCAATTTCGAGTCTGTTCAGTTTTGATACACCCTGTATTGTCCGCACCAACGAGGAAAAGGATACGTAACTCATTCAAGTTTTTCCTACTTAAAGAGAAGTGATGCACCGATATGGAAATTCACCGATATTCCGATAACCGATATTGAAGGACCGTCGACCGATATTTTTCCAATACCGATATTTTATGTCATTTCACAAAATTCAAAGATGACATTATGACAGTTCTACTTTAACACTTTTGAATTTAATTCAATTCATTTGTTTCTAAATACTGAAAATATCAAATGAAAAGCTGCGAATGCATGCAACAAACTAGTATATTACTACGTCAGTGACTGTTTATTTGTAATAAAAATAACTATTGCAACTATAACCAATCATTAATATTTAATAACAGTTTGTAATATCGGTAATATCAACAACAAAATTACCGATACCGATATTTCTATTTTAGTACCGATAAGCCGATACCGATACACCGATGTATTCGGTGCATCACTATATATACAAAGCGTGCATCACGAATTCAAAGGAAAACATGTAGCTGTGACTGGATGATTTAAAATATGCGTATTAAAGTATACAAATGTTCAGTCATGCATTCGTGTTGTATTGTAGTAATAATTATGTAATCATGAATGCATGAGTGAACATTTCAATACTTAAATATGCATATTTTAAATCATCCAGTCACAGCTACATGTTTTTCTTTATGACTGTGATTTTTGCCCGAATTTCGCGATTCGTGTATTAAAGAATGTGATAGAAAAAAATTGAAGCATCTTTACACAAGTAGCAAATGTATGAAACAACCAAAACAGGCTAATCAACAATTATGCTATCAAATTTTTGTTCTCTGGCCCCGTTCTCACCTTTCTCACCACTTCTCGTCAGCCTGCCTATACACGAATCGCGAAATTCGATTGCGCATCCAAATGACGCGTTCTAAGTCGGCCAAAGCCCAGATTCAAAGTAAAACATGTGGCTGTGACTGGATGATTTAAAATATGGGTGTTAAAGTATTGAAATGTTCAGTCATGCATTCATGTTGTATTGTAGTAACAGCCTCGTCCCCAGGCGCTTTGATTTGCTGCGCCTACAGAGCCGTCCACTGCTTGCGTCGGAACCCACACGTCTGAGTTGGAGCCTGGGGACGAGGCTGTTGTAGTAATATGTAATCATGAATGCACGAGTAAACATTTGAATACTTAAATACGCATATTTTAAATCATTCAGTCACAGCTACATGTTTTTCTTTAACTGTGATTTTTGCCTGAATTTCGCGATTCGTGTATACCTTCGCCTCCTAAACACAACACATTAAGGAGGAATTACTTTTTGTGTTTTACCGTGATTGAACCAATTAGGTATTTACTAATATATCGCATTGATACTGAACATTATAGAAATGGCATTGCTAGAAAAATAATTTTTTAGTAAATTCGGGCATTTTAACTGCCCTTCTTCAGGCTGGCGATCCCCAAAAATTATTTATAGTCATTTTCCCAATCAATAGCCTGAAGAAGGCAGTAAATATACTGGGCGCAACGATGAAAAAAAAACACTTAAAATTCTACATAATTTATTGCAAGAATTAAAAATTTTCTTATTTAATTTTTGTTTAGATAAACTGACTAACTATGGGAACAAGTTTGTCATAGGATTTACTTCCCAATATTCCCTGCGTACCTACGGTTACGTTGGAATAGCAATTGCAGCTCACTTCGATACAAATGTCACAATTATCACACAATCAACTTCGAGCGTTCCGTTGAACGTCGCCATCCATATGAAAGAAGGAGATTTCTTGGAGTATGCTCTGCCGCGCTCCCTGCGAATGCAAGGAATCCAAAATAATGGTATTCAGGTTTCGTCAACAATGAATATTTCTGTGGCGTGTTTCAATTATTATACAGGTGGGGATGGATACCTAGCACTACCAACTGACGCACTAGGTGTAACATATGTTGTTGCATCATATACACCATACGATAGCGTTGCAAGAGCTAAAATTGGTATTGTGTCAATACATGACGAAACAACCATTTTAATTCAACCAATTAAGAATGCCGTTATTGAAATTGGTGGAACCGCGTATACTCACGCGGACACGATCCATGTTTCTTTGGGTACACTGCAGTCCATGCAAGTAACGAGTAAATCGGATTTATCGGGGACAACGATATTCGCTTCTAAACCAGTATCTGTCGTCTCTGGGGTGGATTTGGGAATTCCTGGCGGCACTGGAAGTTATGACAGATTAGAATCATTTCTTTTACCTGTCACACACTGGGGAAAACAGTACATCTTAACAACGGTCGGATCAACGA